CAACAAAACACCTTTCTTAGCTATTTTAAGTTAAATAATCAAATGCATAAGTGCCTAAAATATAGGAAGTGATTAGTATTCTAAGAGGGGACATCATGAACACAATTCTGCACCTTATATAAATAAAGTAGGTAATAAATATAAATGAGGAGATAAGGCTACAGCTAAACTATGCAGAAGAGATGCAAGAGATTAATGTATGCTAATAAATTTCCCTTGAAGTAAGGAACCATAGCCAAGAAAGGAAAACTTGTCCTAATGATATTAGATAGAAAAAATATGGAAAACAATTGCTGGCAAAGATTTTAAATGTGGAAATTCTCATCTGCTTTCAAGCAATTTTATCTCCAATATTTGGCCAGCATTAGCACCTGACACATGTGAGTGGTCAAAACTAGAAACTGGCTCCCAACTTTGAATATGAACTCCAATACAAGAGCACATTCACTTAGAAAACCCTCAGAGAAGACAAACCATCAGAGCAAAAATCCTGACAATTTTCAAGTTTCAGCCCAAAACTGAGTATCAGAGATCTTCTCCCTACTGCAACAAAAGTAGCAATTAAAAGAGGAAAAATAAGTCATCCTAGAAGGCCAGATGTAACCTAGGCAACTTGAGAAATATATGAGGAAACACAGAATACACATAATGTGCTTATGTGTTCTTGCAAATACATAAAAATAAAATACTTGTTTCCTTTAAATAAACAGAACAATAAGTTCTGAAGCATGTAGCATGTTATTGTACAAAACTGGTAAGTAATGTAACATTTTTAATGCTCACATAATTAATTAAACAAATATGAATTCTATTGCTGTGAATAGGTTGGGACTTCCTGAGAGTACTCTAAGCAGACACATTCCTTCTTCTATCTAAAATGTAAATGAAAATGGCCTCTTGCTCAATAATAATTGAAACAGATTAATTAATCAATCTGTTATTTCTTTGGTTTTGTGGTTTTTTTTTTACATTTCTAGCAGAATAAACAGAATCAAAGCCTACAGTGTACTAAAATATTGTCTAATATTTAGTAGATTTTTCTTTTTGCTATTGTTTGGAGAAGCAATAATCTAAGAAAAATAATGATATGCCTTTTTACTGATTTTGAAAAATGGAACTCTTATTAACTCTTCAAAATGCTTCTAACTGTATGACATAATCACATCAATGAACTCAAATTAATATTTTTTTTTCATTGCACAGAGGGCTGCAAACCAAATTACCCATTTTGCAGGCTTTTGCTTTGTGATCCACTAGCCTAGAGCATCAGAAAGAGGTTCTTTGAAACTGTAAATGCTAATAACCTTTGGATGAGTAATTTGTCCAGTCTCTGATACTTTCGTATTCTGTTGATCTAGACAAGACCGGCATGTCCAGATAAAGAAAATGAAATGCAGTCGAAATCAAATTCTACTCATTTAAATTGGATACTCCCATAGAATTGCTCATACTGGCACTCAGTTTTTCTGGGACCTTCTGCTGCATTTTTGTTCAAAGAGTAAGACTATTAATTCACAAAATTTAGTTTTTTAGGCTCTATACTTCAACATGATCAATGTTTTGTGTGTAAATTTGATTTAGATTAAAATTTATTATTATTCAAGTTTATTGAGAAGCTAGCTCTAAAATTTTGTGAGAACTCCATTTTAGGAGAGTTTCTTTAAGCAGATGGCAGAGTTGGTTAAGAAATTAGGCTTTGTCAGTCAGTAGACCATTTTTCAGTAAGGGTATAATCCATTGTTTAGTACCAGAGTGGCCTAGACGTGTCATTCCTTTCTGAAGTGTGATAAATTAAGAGAACCATTGTCAAAAATAGACAATGTGTTGTCTAGACAAGAGTAGAGTAAAAAGAGTAGGGGTTATGTGTTAAAGAGCCAGTGCAAAGTTACCCCTCAGCACACTTGACACTTGGTGAGATTTCTTGATATTTATTAAATACCAAATGGTGACATTTAGGAAGGCAAAAACACATAACCTGCTACTAATAAGCTGTCAAGATGCTATTGCCTATATGAGCATAACTAAAATAGCAACAGATATGTTTATGTATGCAAATGCATAAGCATATATACACACCAGAAGCTACAAAATCACTAAGCCATATGCTGGTCTGTGTATTATTTAGCATTTTATTGTTCACTTATCATATTCTGTCTTCAAAAGTGATAAGGTGTACAACTGCTCATCCCCTTTGTCCATTCACACCACTTGGCTCTGGGATATCTGCTGATACTAATGGGCATACTGGACTTTGATTTTGTGTGTGTTTAGTCACACACCCTTGAGAAAAAGTGTTCATGGCCAACCTGCTGAAAAATTCTGAAACAGTTCAGAATGTGAAAGCACTCCTCTTTAAGAACATCAGCAATAGGCACGCAAGATTTTGGCTCTGTGTATTGATTACTAAGACACTAACTGAGGGGAGATTTGGAGTGAGTGGTTTTTTTCTGACCATCAAGGCAGAAAGTATTTGTAACAATGGACCTTATGCAAAACTGATTTGCTTAAGGTTTCTTTTTCTATTTATTTTCAGTTTAATACAATTTGGATTAAAGTTGTTTCTAGCCTGAGAGTGTTACATATTGACCAGAAGGTGTTTTTATACAAGAACTAGTACATTGCTAATAAAGTGGATGTATAACATAGTTTGATATATATAGCATGTATAACATAGTACATTGCTAATAAAATGGATGACAGATGTTGTGTTTCAGATATATGATGCATTATTCTTGGACTGCTTTTGAACTGTTTGGGAATATTTCCTTGCAAATCCTGATTATATGAATGCTTTACTGATATGTATCTACTGCTTGGAATTATTAAGCAGATGCAGTACAAGAGTAAATGAATGCGGGAAAAGAGATGTAAAATAAGAATGGGAAGAATGGAAAGTTTTTTGATTTTTATTCTAGGGTGAAGCAAGTTGTCCTGGGAACTTTATCAGGACATGATGTGCCAATGGCAGCTTTTGTAAACCTGGGGAGTTTTTGCATATGTATCAGAGAAATATACTAAAAAAATAGACTTGCCTTCTTTGTAGTTTTATTTTTTTTTTCAATAGCCTACAAATAAGCAGAAAAGAGACAGGATTTTTACTAAAAAGGGATTTTTTTTTAAACTAAAAATGGTAAAATAATGTTAAAAAAGGGTTTTTTTACTAAAAAAGGTATAAGGTAAAAAATTGTCTTTTTCAGGCTTGAAAAAGACGTTTCTTAGTTTTGTATTTGTCAAAATATTAGTGGGAGATGATAAACAAATAGATCATGACTGATAAGATATTAGTGGCTTTTTGTAGTCCATAAAAATAATCAAAATGTAAACAGATAAGAAGGCTTTCAGGAGATTCTGGGATAGCCTCTTGTAGATTTGTGTTATTTTATGTTTTATTGTGTTTATATTATGTACGCAGTTTGTTCTATGTTCATTTATATTGCATTTGGTTTGTTCCATGTACCCCCTCATTATGTTGGTTCCATCCCCTGTTTCCCGCCTTCCTTCCCTTGTCAATCATCCCAAAAAGTGCACAGTCATTCCCCTGTCCCCTCCCAGGGTCCCTGTCTGTCATCCGGTGTCCCTGCCCCACCATCCAGAATCTTCCATCCAGGGCATCGGGTGATTGGGCACAGCCCTGGGGTCCCTCCCATATCTCCTTCCTATTGGCCCTTCCCCAAGAGCGAGCCACTCCCCACTGATTCCCATTGGTCCAGGTTTTCCCCGCCCCCTCTGTCCTATAAAACCCTCGGTCACCCTGTTCCAGGTGCCTTCTCTGGCAGGCACCAACACGGTTGCTCTGTTCCCGGGTGGTTGGTTCCTCGCGCCTTCGTTCTGCGTTGTCCCTGTTGGGACGCAATAAAGAGGATTTCAGCCCCCAGAGGAGGACTCTCTTCATTCATTACGCTGCGGGGTTTTGGCTGCCTCTTCTGACCCACACAGCTCTCCCCAAAGCCCACAGAGGTCCAGCGGGGAGTGCTGGAGACCTGCCCACTCTCTCCCTCGCGGAGAGCTAGCCGGGGGCGAGACAGGCTTGAGGGGGAGAACACGGCAGCCTCTGAAGTGTCAGTGACACCTTTGAAGATGGATGCATAGATCATGTATGCACATATTGGACAGAAGATCCAGCACAGTTAAAAACCTATAAGAAAATGCACAATTCTATGTACAAGGTGCCAGTTAAAAGATTTGTGTCCAGGTCTTTAGGCTGGTAACTCCGTCATTATACCACTTAATAAGCTGCAGACTAATGTTACCAAAGGAAGAGACATAACTCCATGAATGGAGACCCTGGAAGAGCCTAGAAGCATATTCAGAAGCAGTACCATGACCAGTATGATTATCTCCCCCTGAATTAACAGCTGGTAGTTCTACTTGGATGTCAGTGATTTCTAGAGATCAGTTGTAAATCAGTGTCATGAAGTTTCAGAAGTCTGTGGTATGCCTAAAAGTAGCTTTTGGGATGAATCATCAGGCAAAAGAAACCTAACATAGTGAATTCACACATTGCAAATTACATTTAAAGCAACACATAATTATACAAGATTTTTAGCTGTGCTGTGACATTGCCTATTTTCTGCCATCACCCCAAATTTAAAAGTTGATCATCAAAACCAAGTGAGATAGAACAGACATAAAATGAAGCCACAAGAATAATTTAGTCAAATCTTAATTGCAATGATTTAGCATTGTCCAGTGGGCATTGCAAAAAAATTAACAAATCTTGCAGAAAGATTAATTGGTACCCAGTAATAAACCCAGTCTCCACATGATACATAAAATTAAACATGAAGTTTCCTCATGAGATTTGGATTATTATTTAACTACTTGAATAATTATCACTGTTTCTATTCTGCAGAATTTCCATTTTTGCTTTAGTTTTAAATGAAATCCCATTTGTGCAGAATTGTCTTGACAGCCTCAAGAACCATGAAACACGCAGTGCTCAGTGCTGCTTTGTGATGAGCTTGGCCTGCAGCATTCTCATACCTTGCTTCTCTCAGCAGGTGAAACCAGGAACCTGATGAGGTCCCATATGGATCTGTCTGCCTCATTCCACCCAGCTCTTTCCTGAGGGGTTCAGAGTCCCACTGCTGCTGAGAGCATTCCTGCTGTGACAAGCAACCACTAAGCGCTGCTGGAGTCATGTGAGCCAGCTGGAGCTGAGCGTGACAGTGCTGTGATGGGAAACGCTGTTGGGACGCATTCAGCGTGGGCAGCTGCAGTGGGAGCTGCAGGTTCAGCTCCGGATGGTGGCAGCTGAGGTGCTGACACTTTGCAGGGCCCGGGCACCTGTGGCCCAGCCAGGTGACCGGACACTCAGGGACACAGCAGGAGCAAAGGAGCCAGACTTTTGCTCCCGTTGAATGAAGTTAAAAAATCACAGGTTTTTCTTTTCTTGTGTTCCTGCCTCAGAGGCACCGACTCAAGCTGTTACTCAATTATTGCACCAAGATTAAAGGATAAAGATATTTGAGACTCCGGTATGAGAAATATAGGATTGAGCTAGCAAGGAAACCTGGTCTGACTGTGTGGCAGGTGCGTGAGTGTGGCTGCCAGAGTGTCTCTTGGATGGTTGAATGGGGAAGTTCCCCTAACAGCACTCAGGGCTCTGTCTTCAAGAGATCAGTGCAGAAACCAATTGCGTGTCTCATGGTGGAAAGCATCTCATGATGAACTTGAACTCCTGAGAGATGAATAGAAATAGCCAATATGACAATTCAATTATTTATATCTTACCCAAAACTTCGAGCGTAAACAAGTGACTCATAACTTTGAGTGAGGATCTGTGTTTAGCATATGTAGACCCAAAATATTTTTTGAAAACAAACCTTGAGTAATTATTTTCTTTCAAAATATATTCGTAAGCCCACATTTTTAAATGCTGGCCTTTATTGAAACCATTGTACTAAGTCATAAATACCAAGTGGGTTACTGCCTTCCTTGTTCAGAAGAACTAGTTATCTTCCAGGTTTGTGGCATAGCATGCTAGCCAAGTAAAACAGGTGAATGCAGTATCTTGCCATCATGTTTTTATTGCTGGGGTGACAAGGAAGCCTGTGAGAGAGATTTCCTAGAAAGGCTAGAATTGAGAAAAGAGGAGGTTAACTTATGGACTTTAGGGAATACATAAAACTGGGCTCTCTTAATTTAGAGGGGCTTCTTTCTCAAATAGATAGTGACATAGACATCACAGGAGTAGCAGCTTCATAACTACAGAATATGGGGAAGTATTCCTCCTTCTCATAGGCTGAACTGGCAAATAATGGATGTTTGTATGACATGATGAATTCAATGGGTATGTTTAATCCCTTTGGCAAAACACAACTTCCGACAAGAAACATCCATTAACTGCTCTTCCTACCCTCAGGTAATTTATTTCTGATGTCTTTAATTAGACTTTTAAAAATGAACGAGTCTTATTGTATGACATTTTCTGCAAAATTCCTATGTGATTAGAATTTTATCAAATGCTTGAAGGTACTTCCTGTTTGAAGCTTAATCAATAAAACAAACAAGTGGGTATATTAAGGGAATGCAAATAAAATTAGACAAAATTGCATAAACAATAATCAATATGTTTCTTACAAGAGGATCATAAGTTTAGATATAAGAAAGGGTTTTGCAAAAGTTATCAGATGACCGTATGAGTCATTCATTTAAATATGTGGGCTGAGATGTGGTGGGTGACTAAGATGTTCCTTGTTTATGTGCTTAGGTACTTTATTTTTGGAATGTTCTCCTCAAGTGTTATCTATATTAGAAAAATTACTCAAAGTAGCCTCTAGTAATGAAGTAGCTGAGAACTTCTACATAGACAAGTATGGTAGAGTTGATGATGTCAGCATCCTGATTGTGTCATATTATTCATTCCCCCCTCTTTTTCTATGGATGTGAGTTTTTTTAAATGATGGGATATTTGGTTTGAGTTTAAAATAAAATAGTACATAAAACAATCAGAAGAAGCACAACAATAAGCAAGAAAATACTAAACTACAAAATGACACGATACAATAAAATTATAAACTGCAATGCTAGCTTTTCATTCAGTGTTTTATGGATGTACTGAGACTTTATAGTGTCTCCTGCTGTTCATAGCTCTTGGGCTAATTAGCAGATGCTTAAAATCTCAAAAGATTTGGTCCAGAATTGCTAATTACCTCCTCTATAGCCCAGACTGAAGAGAGCCTGTAAATACAAAGTATGTGCCATGCACCTTTCAGGCATGCACTCCTCACTCATAAGAAAAATCATGTGACGTTTTCTGAAACTCCAGTTTTTGATTGCCTCAGGATGCGTTGTTTTTTTTTTTTAAGAGGTTAAGATCTAGTCACATTCTCACCTCTGATCTCTCACATTTCAAGAGAAACCTGATGAACCTGATAGCAAGTGGTACTAACTTTTAAGCGAATCAAATCTTTAAAAGAAATGCTTGACAGTCATGGAGACAGCACCCATGCTTATAATGAGCAAAGCCGCTCTCTTTTGTGTTAAATGGTGTCCATGTAATGCTTATGTGCTGTTTAACATTAACACATTTAAAGCTTAGAAAAACTAACCAAGCAAAGCCCCTCATTTATAGTAAAAGCTTCAGAAAGTCACTTCCTTAGCTAGTAGGCTGATATTTTGTTTGGAGATGACTGGGATTTTATAAGGCTACATTTCTGCATTTAAAAAAATGCATCACAAAGCCTTGACAGCCGACTCATCTTTGAGAAAAAAAAATTTACTCAACCACCTACATTTTAGGGATGTATCTACAAACAGGTACTTCTTTGTGAACATATGTATAGCACAGGAGAAACACTGTCATGGTTTGAATTTCTGTGTCCAGTTTTATGATTTTTTTCACCTACTTTAACAACTTTGTGTAATGAACAGAAACACCTACCTTCAGTAAAGCTAGTTATTCTAATACTGTTATTAAATAATCATGGCTCATGTAAGGCTCTGATATATTTTTTTATCTTCAGTGCTTTTCATAGAATGAGTTATTCTTGTTAGCTCAGCTTAACATAACAACTGTCAAAACTGGGCCCATGTTGCTTAAAACTCCATTAGTCAGGGTGACTGAAACACATATCAATCTATTCTTAGTTCAGTCCCACACTATTTAACATCTCAAGGCCTAAAATCTCCTAGGAGTATACAGTGGTTGTACATGCCAGAGGTAACAGGTCCAAAGGTCCCTTGAAGGAAAGGATCATATCAGTACAATTAGAAGCAAATTCTGTTGAAAGCATTTTGAAGATTTTCCTGAAAAGGATGTTGAACCTCTCACAGGATCACCTCTCCATTAGAGTTGCATGTAGTAGTAATACCCAAAAAAATGGATGTGACCTCTTTTACCAACACAGAGCTAAAATCTCTTCTTGGCTGTGCTGCTTTCAGCTAGGACAAAGATACTTTTCTTCATGGGAGTTGGTATGAGTCAAATATTGAATGTGTGCTTTAGAATATGTGCTGTACACAGTATTGATAACATGGGGGTGTTACTGCTGAGCAGTGCACAGAGTCAAGAACTTTTCTGCTTCTCACACTGTCCCACCAGCAAGGAGGCTGGGGGCGCTCAAGGAGGTATGATGGGACACAGCTGAGACAGCTGACCCCCACTGATCAAATATATATTGCATATGATGCATTGGTCAGTATATAAAAACTGGGGAAAGAGAAGGACAGGGGAATATTTCCTGGAGGTTGCTGAACACCTAGCTGTCCATCAGTGAGACATGGTGAATGAATTCCTTATTCTGTTCTGCTTGTGAATGTAGCTTTTGCTTTACCTATCAATCTGTCCTTATCTCCACCCACAAATTTTCTTATTTTACTCTTTCAATTCTCTTCCCACCCCATTCACTCTCAGGGGTGAGTGAATGAATACTGGTGAGGGTCTAGTTTGCCACCTTGGTTTCTTACTATTACATTGACCTAGCAGTTTAATTTTGTTTGGAAACTCTTAATGCAAATTTTAGGACTTCAAGTGCTGTTTAAAACCAGAAATATTAGACTTTGCTGGTCATGTTTTAGGAAGCATGAGATTAAGTGGTGAGGAAATTCATTTTATTAATCAGTAACTGACTATTAAACTATCAGACTAAAGATATGAACTATTAACACCTTTTTCACTTTAATAACTGTCTTTGTATTTTTAACATCTAATCATCCTAATGAATCTTGAAGGTGTTGCATAGAGATACCTCTATTTATTTCTTAGTAATTTTTATGCATGTCTTATCAGTAAGATGAAACCATTCCTGATTGAGTTAATTTGATGCACTTAAAAACATACTAGGAATAATAAGTAAGCAATATATAAAATCACAAACCTTAACAAGAATTAGGTGGCATTCTATAGTGTATTTTATGTCTGGTGTTTATCAACTGTCTCAACTTTTCTACTGCACTTATCCTGATATAAAAGGATGCTGCTTGTAATTCGTGACACTGCTGTCTTTATAGTTTCACTGTCACACTGAAATAAAATAAATTTTGCCTGTGATTCAGAGGCTATATTTTTCCAGACAAAGATGCATGCCATTCAAATGCACAGGAATGGGTCCAAAAACTACCATAGCTAAAGGGAACTTTCACTTATAAGACAAAATCTGGGGTTTTGCCAGAAAAGAGGAATGAAATCTCTTATGGCTTTAGATGCCACATTTAATTCACAGTTGTGTGAGTATGAGAAAAAACCCAGTTTGACGAGAGAGAAAAGTTGAGAAACTATATGTCCATTCATTAGTATCTTCCTTATTGACACTTTGCTATAGTGTCTGCATATATAAGCATTTTCTGAGAACTCCAAATGTTATATGTTTGTTCAATCATGGTTTCTATCACAGCTGTAGTAGTATTGAATAAGATCATAGGTTTTGTACAAGGAAAGTGCTAATTTAGATACTAAGGGATGTTAAATCCCTTATCACTTAGAAAGAAAAAACAGATTTTCTGTGACCAGAAAAGCTGTAACTTCTCTAGTCACTACTTTGCTTGATGGATTTATTTCATATATGTTAGGTTAAACACAACTTAGGTTGTGTTTAAATGTTCAGTATTTAAAAAAAAATTTTAACTTACTTTGACTTTTTGGAGTATATTTAGCAGACATTAAATGTCCAGAAAAATGAAAACAACCATCAAAATAGGTGCTTGAAATGAACAGTATATATTTACTATCAGCATTTAGGATTCTGCTTGCTCAGAATTTGCTTATATGGAAAATTTAAACATTAAGCAAGATAAATTATGTCAAAATAAATCTGTCATTCTGTCATGCTGTTTTCTTGTTTGAATTGTTGTTGTACAGTGTCAGTCATCAATGTGAAAGATGTGAAAATTTATGGATCAAAAAATGTTCTATGAAATCTAGTTATTCAGCTAGCAGGCATATTTCTTTGTGTTTTGTAATTTAAATACAAAATTGTGTGTGACCCGTGTCACAATTCAGTGCATTGATCAATGCATAATGAAGACTACTGAAAATGTGGACTGAGTAACAAGCAGCAGCAGAGATTGAAACTGCAGCTAGTAAGTCAGAAAATATTTGAATGTTTCTTCCTAGCTTACAATGTTTTGAAGCAGAAATAAAATTTCTTTACTATTCACATATATATAAACAAAGTCTCTGAGAAAGGACAGACTTGAAACAGACACAAATGTTAGAAATTAAGGCACTGCATTCCTTGAAACTCTTTACATTAACAGTTGTTTTTTTTTTTTCTGTCCTTTGTCTACTCATGTTTTATTATTTAATGCATTTTTCATTACAACAAATAGATGGCATCAAAACTTACATCAGACTTTCTTCAGAAATGTATACAAAAATCTTTGAATGGATTTAAAATGGAAGGGAAGGGAGAGTAACGTGGAAAGTACTAAGACCAATGTAAAAGCAAAATATGAAAATACATTCATGAAAATGTAAAGAGTAAAGTGACACCGTTTGTGACTATCTTAAGATTTGAGGTCTCTTTTGAAAGATAAGCACTTCAAGGAAGGATCATTCTGTAATTTTGATCTAGCTAAACTGAACTAATTAATTGCAACTGAGCCGCAGAAAACCCTTTTTTTTAAATTATTTTTTTATTTGCTCTCTAGTCAAACTCCCACAGAGCTTCTCTTTTTTTTTTTTTTTTTTTTTTTTTTTTAAGAGGAAATGAATAAAAGTCTAACTAACTTATATGTTTCTTTCTCTCCCTGCTAGAATAAGAATAGAAAATGAACAAACACCTGTTACAGCCACAAGAATCTGGCCGTACTAAGCCTAACAGGTTCCCTAAAGGGATGTTTATGAAAGCAGGAGATTATCAGGGTATCAGTAGCAGACCATAAAGGGTAGCAAAATCAGGAAATGAAGGCAGGGTAATCAACATACCTGTGAAGAATATGGTAAGTCATGTCTGCTTCCTACTACCATAGACCTAAAGATTTTTTAGGTTGTTATATATGGTTGTAGCCTTGTAGATTTTTAATATATAGTTGTATGGTTTCTAGTACTTTTACTGCCCTTTCTCACAATAAGCTAACCCTTACTAACAATTTTTAAATTCTGTTTAGTCTTATGCCTAAGAAAATAATTTTTGAAAAGGAAATATTTTTTTGCACCAGAGCTTAAGAGACATAAGAAGAAATGGGGCAAAGAAGACCCTGGATTAACTCTGAGGGACTGACCCAAGGGTGAGTTACTAGAGCAACTGATCTGCTATTGGATGCACCTGCCAGATATATTAATTAACCTTATAAAACATGTAGAAATCCTTTATCTTGTGTACATATAGCCATATTTGTGGACCTGAAAACTTTCATTAAAGAGTTGCTTTTTATGTTAGCTTAATACTATTTGGAATTTTTAGTGTTTTTTTGGAAAAGTTTTTTATGTTTACTTATCCTTTGTCCTGCAGAAGTGATACTCCAGTGAGTGACAATTCATGGGTAGCTTTATAAGGGAGGATAAATCCATTTGCAGGACAGACATTACCTTAGATTCTACCCTGAAGATAAAGATTTTAAATGTTTTTTTCGAAGTATTTGAAATGTTTTGACAACTTGCGATGCATCTTTTAAAAATTTTAACATTTTCATGTTAGAAATTTTTTTAAAACACTATTATTTACTCTTTGGTTTTTTTTTCTGAAAAGTTAGTGCCAATTATACTGATTTTGTCAACTTGAAATATCTAAACAATGAGTGAAAAATTTTCTTTTGTCAGTCTAAAGCACAGTGCTTTACAGTCAGTACTGTTGTGCTGTTTGGTGGCTATTGTTTTCAGCTTGCATAGAGCAAAGCAAGAGCAGGTTCTAAATGTAGAAATTTCAGTGTTGTCTACTAACTGTTTTTTAAACGCATTTTTTTCCCCTGGCAAATACCCTACCTAGGGACATTATAGTATAGGGGAATGAAAACCTTTAAGATAATTCATAGTTTAAATATAAACAGATTAGTAATAAATGAAACAAAAATAGATTCATTTACTCTGGGAAGCTCATGGAAAAATGGACAGACAAAAGTGCCTAAAAAGATGTAGGAAATGTCTGTGACTTTCTGTGTGAATGGGCTAAAATCAGTAGCAATTCAGTGAGAAAATGTATCACTTTCCAGGAGAGTAGCTATTTGGAGCAATATTTTTTTCAAGAAAAAAGTCTAGGTGTTCAGTGGGGAGCAGGGGCTTCTGCTGCCCAAAGAACTGGTGAGAGACTCAGAACAAAGGCATGATATGAAGCATGAAACATGATGTGATGGAAGCCAATGAGACAAGAAGCAGAGATAGATCTTTATTTGGAGGCTGAGGTGGAAATTTAAAGTTGATTTGTTATATGCTGATTGAATGCTATTTTCTTTTTCCCTCACACTGTTTGTTTTTTTGATTTTTTCTTCAAGGAACCACAGAGTTCAAAGCACTTGTAGGCAACATGCATTTAGTAGCAAGAAGTTTAAGGAGATATGTTGGGCAATGGCAGAAGACCAGAAAAAGAGACTGAGTAGAACTTTCTCTCCCATACATAACTGGAAACATTCAAGTCAGTGTCAAACCAGAAGCAGACTTCATTCTTTTTGTGCAGTTACCACATGAGGAAAACAAGTTTGGTCACAACTATCTTTTGGACTCATCGCTGGGACTTTACAGTTGTACACACAATTTCTTAGATTGTCACCTTGTACGTGCTTTCCTACATGGGGTCTTTTCAGTCTTCAAATGAGATCCTGGCCTGTGTCAGGAATAGTGTGGCCAGCAGGACAAGGGCAGAGATTCTTCCCTGATACTCTACACTGGTGAAGCCGCACCTTGAGTGCTGTGTCCAGTGCTGGGCTCCTCCATTCAGGAAGGACATTGAGGTGCTGGAGTGTGTCCAGAGAAGGGCGATGGAGCTGGTGAAGGGTCTGGAGCACAAGTCCTGTGAGGAGCAGTTGAGGGAGCTGTGGTTGTTCAGCTCAGAGAAGAGGAGGCTCAGGGAGACCTGGTCACTCTCTACAACTGCCTGAAAGGAGGGAGTAGCCAGGTGGGGATCAGTCTCTTCTCCCAGACAGCCAATGACAGGATGAGAGGACACAATCTTAACCTGTGCCAGATGAGGTTTAATTTGGACATTAGGAAGAAGTTCTTCACAGAAAATGTGATTAGATATTGGAATGCACTACCAGGGAGGTAGTGGAATCCAGGAGGTATTTAAAGAAAGAAGAAAGACGGGATGTGGCACTCAGTGTCATGCCCTAATTGACATGGTGTTGTTTGGTTGTAGTTTGGACTTAATGATCTCAGAGGCCTTTTCCAACCTCATTGATTCAGTGATTTTGTGATAAAAGAGTTTCTTAATGTCTTCTTGTCTGAACAAAATTTAATAAATCCCTTAAAATCTGGAACCCCAGGTCTGGAAAATAGGGTGATTATTAATATCTTCAAACTTGTAACTGTGGCAATAAGGGACATTTCCCAGTAGGCACATTCTAAATCCTTAGGTAACGATGAGTAATTTACTTTTATACAAAATGTACTATTACATTTCCTGTGATATGTCTTTTCTATCATTTTACTTTGTGTCTTAATGAAAATTGAACTTGGATTTCTTCCATCCAAATCTGGATCATTATTTCTCTTTGTGTGATGGTTTATGCGCCAGCTCATCATTTTTTTTTTCCTTTTTTTTTTTCTTTTTGTCTAGTGTTGTTTCTTCTGGCAGTAAAACATGGGTTTGGGTGAAGCGTGGCTTGTATTTGAAATCTGTCCCAAATCTGTATTACAATTGTGTATGAATGCTCTTCCATAGTTCCCCCTGCAAAGTTTATGCCTTACTTTGCTCTTTATGACATATTCAGATACTATTTAGCATTTTTTGCTCTTTTTTTTCTTTCCTTAGCCTCACAAATATAAGAAAAAAACAAAAAAAAAAAAAAAAAGGATAAAAGGAAAAAAAAAGAAAAAGAAAAATAAGATAGTTATTATCCACTGCAGGACAGATAACTTCATTGTTAAAAAGACAGTAAAGGAGGAATACCAAAAAGTCTTCAGGGATCTTGTCTGTGCAGACCAGTTTAAAATACTGAGATTATGTTTAAAACAAAATTAAAACTGAAATACTTTGAGGCAAAGTAAATCCAGTTCTGTAGTGCAGTGCCCTACATTTCCTTATACTCAAAAAGTTTTAGGATGTTTTATAATGCTAAAGAGATTAAGAGCAATAGAGAGAATATTTATTATAAAATCCCAGCATAATTTACTAGCAACATGAATTTGGCTCCATCACTGAGGCATCTGGGGCTGTCCCTGCTGGGGAAGCACAGGGCTGGGCTGCAATCTCTGGCCTCTCCCACAGCCTCTCAGCTCTGGCTGCGCTCACTCTTTGCCAGATGCAGCCAGGGACGGGGCAGAAGAGCAGGACCTCACCTGTGGCTTCTGCAGAGCATTGGAGGTACCTGCAGCCATGCCCACCTAGGCTGGGCCTACAGTAAAAATGCGGCAAACCCTGGATGTCTGGCTCTGGATCAGAAGGCTGAAGAATAGCTTTGTTAAAACTATACTATATTACATTAATACTATTTAAAGAGATACTATACTATTCTACATACTTACCTAACAATCTTGCAACTCTCTGCTGAGAGTCTGAGACACAGCTGGATCCGACTGGTCATTGAACCCAAACAACCTTCACCAGAATCCAATCAAGCAATCACTTCAGGTAAACAATCTCCATACCACATTCCACATGGGGAAAACAAAGGAGCAGAGATAAAGATTGTTTTCTCTTCTTCTCTCTGTGCTTTTCCTGAGAGACAGAATTATGTTTCTCTGTCCAGAAAATGGACAGAATGAATGTCATACTGGGCCTGCACAGGAGCGGGAAGAAGGTGGAACCAGAGACCATCTGGGCTTAATAGGGAGCTTTGGGTGCGTCTAAGAGCAAATGAAGCAGCAGTCCAGTGGCCAAGACTCAGATGTGTGACCGTGCCTGTGCCCGGAGCACTGTCGGGCAGTGCCAGGATCCTGGGTGCGGTTGTGGTCCCCACAACTGATAAATCACAGTCCCTGCCTCAGACCCAGTCAGAAACCCAACCAAGTGAGATCAGAGGGAGGGCACCCTTTCAGTCTCTCTTGGGCATGGCTGCCAAACAGCCTCTGCTTCTTCTTCCTCCACCTCTGCTTGGGGTGTGCTGATGTCAGAGCCAGCCAGGTTGTGCTCTGTGCTCCCAAAGCCTGTTGAAAGCTGCATGCACAGCAGAGAATTTGCTGTGTTTCTTCTCTCATACTGATATCCAGGAAAAGTTGAAAAATTCTATTTTTATAGGCTTATAGTTTCATTCATGTACCTAAGCTGAAGTGATTTGCAAAATGTTTTATGAGCATCTCAATGCTTAACAAAACCTGTCAAGATTTAGTCATTACTAGATACGTATATACAGTGCTTTAGTTTATTTATTTTATCCTTTCAGCAAGACTGATGTTTGTTAGCATATTTTTAGCTAAAAATAGTAGCCATGATATTTTTCTATCACTGTCCAAGGCAGTGATAGTTTGGTGACGTGCAAAATATATTTTGCTACTGGTAAATATAAGAGGTTTTAAATTTAGCATTGCTTTCGATCAGATGCCATTGGAATGCAATATACATTCCCCATCCTCTCCCCCCACATTTGTTCACAGGACAAAGGTTCAGCTGATTCAAATAAATAACAGTATGTTTTATTTTTAGCCCCTGCCATAGATCTTCCATATTAAGATGTCAGTGAACTGAAAGGACAGAGGTAAAAGCTCTATGAAAAGGGTGAATTAATATTTTTCTCAGGGGAAAACCAGCAATACAACCCTGCCTCAAAATGCTTAGTGGATGGTTTAATTTATTTATATATTAGTGTGTGGTTTAACTCTATTTTCCTTGTTAATAATTTGGAGACAGCCCACCCAAAACTATTAATTTTCAGCAGTGTTTCTAATGGAAAAATATTAATCAATAACAAAAAAGGGATAGTGAAATGTGCTTCATTTTCAGCATACACATAAAGATTTTTGAGTTTTGATCCAACATTTTTAGCTGAAAGAGGACAGGAAGACCTCCTAGATCAAAGAGTATTTGTTAACACTCCGAATAATCAGTCTAAAAAATAATGCAAAACTTTTGGGTTTGTTTAATTGGGTTCTTAAGTTGATATTACAATGCAATTTAAAATCCAACAACAAAAAAACTTTATGTCTTGTATTAGACTGAAAAGATCTCTGAACATTAGTGTACAGGACTGCATCATTTAAACTACTTCCACATTTAGAGGGAGATGAAAAGCAGATTATGTGGATATATCTTTCCTTCTTCTGCAAAGTTTGTGTACCTTGTACAAGACTATTATGATTTAGGAGTTGGATTTCCTTCTTGGGGGATTTCATCCCTTCACAATGGTGTCTTAGTCTCCCACAACAATTTGGTGGTTAGCACATTTGCCTAGAATACAAGTGAGACAAATTTAATGCCTCCTTTTTTCAGAAATGGATCAAGATCCACATCCTAGGTCTTTTGGGAGAGCACCCAGAACACCTGCTCCCATACAGTGTTGCAGCACTGGCCTGGAAGGGCAGTGTAGAATCCTAGTTCTTGCAAGAGACAATGAAGTTTACATTAATTCTGTTGATGAGTTATGTGGTAACACATACTAAACACTTGTTGCTAGTAAAACATCCTTCATTATCAGTGTCTGACGTACAAAGGCCCATATCAAGTTGATCTTCACTGAGGAGGTGAAGGGCTGTGCACAGATGGGCAGTTGGCTTTTTTCATTGCAAAGCTATATTCAATTATGATTTTTCCATTTTCTTTTAAACATACTTAATTGTTTTCCCCTAAGAAATTGTATCCATTTACATGAAGAGAGCATTACAATGTTGGGAAAATTTCTCAGGTATCATGACCTTAATCTCTCTCACATACTATAATCCACAAATCCCTGCTCTTTTATCTGGACTAGTATTGTGTATCCTGATAGCTTTCTTTCTGTTCTTATTATCAAGCAGCATTTCTTTTCAGCTTCTATCTACTTTCTTTTTCCATTAGAGCTCTGAGATTCATTCTCACTCCTCTATCTCCTACAGCTTGTCCTCAGGCCACCTCATCCGCTCCCATTCACAGATAGTATCACTAAATACCACCCCTGAACTGACACCTTCTAGATCTTCACATTGCACTTCACCTTTCACTGTCAGGCTGCTTTCTGTCACTTTCTGTGCTGCTGTCAACTCAAATTCAGACTGGCAAACTCATGTTTATGCTCCATAACCCCACACATCTCCAGTGAAATGGGATTTGAGTGGCAGATTACCTTTCCTCCATCCCTTTTGATGATAAACATACAGTGAGTACTGCAAGAGCAATGACAGTCTTTTCTTTCCTACGGGAGAACCTGCAAAATACATAGTCAAGGTTCAGTAGTGCTACACAGGAAGTTTCAAGTTGAACAGTCAAGATGGAAAGACCTGTTGTATGTGAAGAGCACTGCTGATTTCAGGATCTCTTAGTGGCAATCCAAATGCTGTGCTATTGAGGAAATTATTTCATCCAGGCACAGCTTTTTTGAGACCATTGATGTTTCTAGACAGCTCAAAATTTATTTCTTGGTCATTATGTTCAGTTAGTCCTTGCAAGGGAATAATAGCAGGGCCTGCCATTATCACCAGGTAGATAATGTCAGTTCTAATATCAAAGGCTAAACAATATTACAAGCAGCAGTGAGGAAGATTGCTGTGTGCTGCATTTTTATTACACATACTGTATCATTGTAATGTATACAGGAGGACTCCCTGTGCCCTTCAATTGATCAAATTATGACATACGGAACTGTTGAAATAATTATGAGTTGAGAATACAAGTATAAAGATCCTCCAGAATTGACTATATTTCTCTAATGCATAATTAAAATGTTCATGTCAGCAAATACCATTGATTGCAATTGATAGCATGTTATGATCCTGTTCCATTGAACAGGCAGAGATACTAGCAAAAAATGTTTAGCTTTTTAATAGAAAGGGACTGGAAATATATTTCATGTTCTCACTTAGTCTCCTTACTTATAATTTAACTTTGTACGTGTGTTCTTGAAGGGTAAGTATTGATACCCAGGACACTTCTTTAGAATGTATAAATAAAACAATTGTTTAAAACTTCTTTGGTTTTCTAAATGTAATTGGCCAATAGAAAAGTGAATCAGCTCACTGTATCTTGCATGGTGAATAATATTCCTTGTAATAATGCTTACACTTGGAAAGTCACCAGCCATCCTTGGCTACATGATAAATCATAACACAGATTTATTTTTTTTTCTGTAGCCTTAGAAGGTATAATGGTTAGGACACAATTTTGCTTTATTCAAAACAGCCTAGTATTACACTTAATGAATGGCTTTAATGAATGGCTTCATTAAAGCCATTCTTAAATCATGTCATTCTGTGATCATAAACAGATTTAAGTTATTAAAAGATTTAAAAAAAGTCTTATAATATATCCCTTCTACTTTCTTCACCTTCTTTGTCATTCCTCAACATAGCTGCTCTTATATGATTTTCTGCCTTGTTCTAGTGCTGCTCCCAGTGAAGCCAGCAATG